GCAATTATTGTTAATAGGTAATTAATTCACTTGCACTGTTCTTATAATAAAGCATAAAAGGAAGGGTGAAAACAATGAAATCCTCTCTAAATAATCAATGGTGTGATTCACTGCAGCATTTTCAAAGTCAACTGTCAAAATCATCCTATCTCACATTTTGGGTCATGAGAGGTCTTGACCCCATCTGATCTAGATTCAACGTTGTATGACGTCCACTTCTACCAGTAAACATGCTGGTGATGAGCAACACAACTGTGACTAAAAGACATACTTATGGAGGTCTCTCTCTCTCTCGTAATCTCACTTCTAAGAGATTGACCTTATCACTGGAGAATCCTTGCTAAATATAGAGTACGCAGATAACATAGCACTGTTACGTGGATACTCTGGAAACACACACAGTCTTTTGAAGACCTGCAGTGGCAGTTTCAGCATGTTTGGAATGAGTTTCTCATCACCATCATGCAAACTGTTGCTCCGTGACTGGTCTTCAGCAGTGCCCCTGAAAACAATACGCAGTCGAATAGTTGAGCGCGTTCACTCCTTCAATTATCTGGGAAATAGGATCACTCCTGGTTGGTAGTGGTAGGTTAGTGGCCAGAGAAACCTCTGCATGGGAAAAAGGTTCGATTGACTTTAAACAACTCATGCTTCTTATGGTGCCACCGCCGTGATATCCAGTTGTCTGTCAAGGACCGAGTGTAGGGCGCTCTTCTTCGCTCTGTTCTACTATATGCATGTCAAATATGATCATTAAGAGGAGAGGGCATGAGAAGGCTTCAGACAGAAATACAAACAGACAAAGTCAACGTATAGCCTGGCACACAATTATGTCGGTTCAAGTTACCATAATACATAGTAGTAGACAAAGAACAGGTAGTGATGTCAATGTAGACAAGGTTGTGTGAGAGAACAAACAATTTGAAGATAATCGTTAGCGTAAATAATCTATGTATAAAAGATGTCAAGGTAGGGGTCAGGTTTGATTGTCAAAATGCCTCAATGATCTGTTCATGCTGAAGCGATTATTCAGAACTGTTTTGTCATATCAAAAAAGTCTGTTATGTAATGGTAAGACAAAAACAGTTGTCTTCATAGTGTAAAGTGTAGGCTAAAGTAGGCGTTCAACATAGAAGCCATACTGATGGCTTTACGGTATGTCATGGTGGTAAAGTGTTTCTTGCAGATGATCAGCGTTCTATGCTGATGCTGAAATTTTTGTTGAAAGGAGAGGTCACGAATGCTAGCCTTTGAAGTACCACAATCCACTGGGCTTGCGAGTTTGCAGACCCAGCGGCATGAGTTGTCTTAACTGCAGTAACAATGAAAGTTAAGGCCTTCACGTCAGATCAGCCTCAAGAAAACAACGCTAAGATTCTGCGGTCACGTACCACTATTACCAATTCAATTTCATTTTACGATACCCAAAGAAGAAACAACCTACCACAGTATGAGAATAAAGGAAGTGTCAACTGCCCTGAAATCTCGATCAACCTTCCAGTTCTTTCGCATTATCATCAACGTTTCACATCGTAGCCGTCTATTCATTTTGCCCGGTTCCGCTTCAATAATAATACACCATCTTCGACTTATTCCACCTCTGCATTCAGTCATAAAGAATCTAAATCATGCAATAGCGTCTCTAGTCTCCTAAACCTGAGGTTCAAAACGACCCAAAGATATCAGTATTCACATTATTCGTAGAACCGAACAACAAGCTTCCACAGCCAAACGTCTGGAAAATTCGAATACGAACGTATGCTGACTTTGTGGGACATTCTGACAACATCCAAGTGCCTTTATTCACCTAACCTTATCCGGTCAATATGGCGAATCCACAAAATTCACCCCTTGACTTTCTGAGGATTCGATGGTTAATTCTCGCAGTCTTGCAGGTACAGATAAAGGATAAGGTTTTAGGGCAGGGCACACCGTCAGACTGAACTGAGTAGTAAAGACTGAAAAGAATAGTGAAGCATACTGTTATTTCTTTGTAATCTCTAAATACACCGCCAACTGAATACGGTTCTGAAGAGGTGAAGGATGAGAACCGAAAACTGTTCGATTGAAGTATTGACTAGCATATGGAGATAATATATCGTCACTCATGACTGGTTTTAATCGCCGAATGTGCCAGTCTTAAAAACAAATGGTGAAATCTTCCTATGATAGCCACGGAGAAACAGCCTGACGAACACATTATCGAAGATTATAGATTTTATATTCAGCACACAACTAATTTAAATTTTTAAAAAACCCCGAAAACTAAGGTAGGTTTTAGACTTCGTAGGAAGTGTATCAACGGGATAATCGTCAACCTCCACTACATCTCCAACCACAGAAACACTAATCGGTACTAAACATAAGCTGTATTTTTGGACCTCAAGGCATCAGACAGATACATCAAAGTGGAACCTAGCGTAGAAGTTGATCAGTTTGGATTATCACACTCCACAGCAGAATGCAAAAAGGTGAATAGAAAATGAGGAATAAAAAAGTATGCAAAAGGGTATGCAAGGGAAAAGAATAATTAGGTTAACCTTGATGAATACGCTCAAGAATTTGAGGGTGGTAAAGAGTTCAAAAATCTTCACCAATATGACTGATTTTAAACTATATCACCAAAAGTCTCACAACAATGATAAGTATCCTCCTAAGGAACAGATCCAAATAGTATAGTTGACCGAAGAGTCTTACGGTAATTTCCCTCAATAAAAGAGAATCAGGTCAGGATACCACTCTATTTAGGACTCGATATTCAAAAACACGTGCAGCTCAAAGTAAGGTGGGAGAGAGTTTATACGCTAATTGGTCTCCTTAATTCCTCTCCCTCTGTACTCCCCTGTAATCCTGGCACCAACGTACTGATGCAGTTCTGTCTTTTCTCGTCTGGGCTTACAGCAATCAATCTTTTCGTAGGCAAGTTCTTAGTAGAACTACTCAGTGTATGCAGATAACAGTAATAACAGGTGTAGATGCTGATAGCATCTACGGCTTTCCAGACATCTTGAGTGACAATCTGAGAACATTTGGGATGCACTTCGCAACACTCAAATGTGAATGAGTGCTACACGACTACTAGTCTGCGTTAGCACCTTGTCTGTCTAACAGCAGCGAGGGAAGACGTTGAGCACACTGATCACTTCACTCACACTCGGGAAGTCGGATCAGTCCAGGTGGGTCAGAAAGAATGTAAAAAGCTCGGTTGGCTTATACCAACTTAAACCGTGTGCTTCATCAGCGCGATATCTGGTTGCCTATTTAAGGTCGAGTGTACTGCGCCACAGTTTACTCTGTCCTACTATATGGCTATGAAAAATGGCCAGTGAATGTGGAGAAAATGAGAAGGCTACATGTGCTTAGCTACTTTTGCCTCAATAGCACAGCTTGTGTATGATGGGATTACGGTGTAAGCAGTATTGGAAATTAGACTCAGTGAACTAGGCAAGTAGGGGTTTTGAATTTCCATCGATTCAGATAACTGGGACACGCGTTACAAATGCCTAATCCCCATTTACTCCGAACTACGACGTTGTATGAATTCGGTTTAGGTAAAAAAGCGTTAAGGTAAACAGAAAAAGACATGGCATTATTTCATGGATTTCTTGACTTTTAATTTGAACCGTTCAGAGAGATGTAGGCCTTGAGGTTCATGGTATCAACTAGGATAATGAGATTCTCAACTCTCTCTCTCTCTCTCAAGGTATACAATGTCGGGTGGTACAAGGCAATTGATAGGAAGCTCAGGAGTTAATATTTAGGTTTGTTCTCCAGTAGGGTAAATCTATATCCTCAAAATAATTGATGTTGCTTTAGAGGTTCAGATCTACACTACCAAATGTCACAGTTAGAGACGCTATCGCAATGAGCTATTCAGGCAGTGACTGAATTTATGACCACATTGAAGTGCTTTAAATGGTTTACACCAATAATTATCTTCTGAATGGATCAGTGACATTCACTGATTCCGATCAGCATGAGCATCCTTTCATCATACTTCTACTCTAACCGATAGTATGAATTTCAGTCAGTGCTGTTTGTGCACAGAAAAATACGTGGAAGCCTTCTTAATGAATGAAGATTTCATATCTTATCGGTTGTATACACCGCTTTAACAGTACGCAGTCGGTGGCTATGCTTCACATTAAAATGTATCGTAATCCTCGATTGAAAGCATTTCACTTATTCGTAAATTTTGTTCATGGAGACTTCGGTGTTCAGTGGTCAATGGACAGATAACTGTGGTATGCAATTATTAATGGCAGGTTTGCAATAATTGAAATCATATCTCAAGTAATTTGGTTGCTACAATAGCAGGAGTCATGCTTCCAAATTTGATAGAAATAACTTTTCTGGATAGTTAGTTTCGGATCAGTTAGGGTAAAATAGTGATGATCTAGATCAATCCGGCACAGATTTATGTATTCGGCTATTATCACATCAGAGCTTCTGATAATACCTAAACTGCCTAAACAGAAGTAAAGGATAGTTTCGACTCACGACAGGACTGTTCGAAGGTTGTAAGCTTTAAGTCATTAGGCTACCAACTAACCCTTTCATGTGCATATTGATTGGTCAAGGGAGAGCAACCAAATTCGTGTTGTCTAGTCCTGAGTGCAGGCCGAATCCGGTCGATCGTATTTGCAATGTGGCCACCAAGCTAACAGGTTCAGCATCGCGGTGCATGTTAGATGTTAGTTGGCTGGAGGGCTTCCTGTCGATTGCCTCCAACCAACACCTTTCATATATTTTGAAATCATATATATTGAAACAATTTGTTTTTGTCTGACAGAAACGATTTCTATGGTTATTTACCGTTTATTATTATTGTGAATAAACCACTAAGGGGATGGAATTGGACAATGGCTACTCACAATATTTTCGAGATATGCATTGAATTTTCAGCTAACAGTTACACCTTGAATTTACTGATGAATTTAGATTCTCATTCGAACAAGATGAAAAGAGGGAAACAAAATTTTTGATAACTTTCAACTTACCATTGATTTAATCTTGCAATGTTCACATGGATTCGAAAAATGACAAACATGATTCAGTGAACTCCATTTGGATGTCATGAATTGACACTCAGTACTATTATCTGAATTTGTGTATATCTCAAATGATCTCAGGCCAATCTAAAGCAGAGAAAATCCAGGCATTCACAATAACTCTATTAGTAATTAATGAAAAGTTACATTTATTGAACAAAGAGGAAACGATTGACGAAAAAGCGTATAATGAGACCTTTATTATGCCTAAATACCATACTATGCGATAGCAAAGCTTCATACGTGTACTAATCTATCGCAAAAAAGAGTTCAATATGTCAGACTGGAAAAAAACCGTTGAATTTCTCCAAGTAACATTTCATATAGATGGGATTGTAACTCAATTGCTCCTTAAGATGCTTAACTTTCAGTGGTGTCAAACATTCAAATTGATTTTAATTTGTTAATATAGGAGTAAAACCAGAGCACTGAGGTTGACTGTAATTTCATTTTAGTCTGTTTATTAGAAATATCACACAGTGAAACAGTATCATTTACTGGATAACGTTTCGGACATAATTTATTGTCCATATTCATATCAGGTAACTCCACAACTTTGGGACATGGTTTACATAGTTCTAATTCTCTCTCCTTTGTGATAAGAGCAGTAGGACATTCCATATATCCGGAACAGATGCAGAATCATTTCGATTGCGTGTGTTTGGTGTTGATTCGATAAACAAAGATTCAGTTACCAATCTCTCCCTCCAACCAACTAAGTTAAGTTAGTTTTTAACGTTATCGCTCTATCCCACCCTCCTGTGTGATTGTATGTAGTTGTGTTTAGAGCTGACGCCGAGCTTTTCTCTAAATTTCTTATCTTAGTAGTATCTATTAATCTTAATTTAGCTAAGATTTTGTCCTCTGTTATTCTGATTGGCCTTGGTCGACTACTCTGACCCGTGTATTTGACCTCACAATCACTGCAAGGGATTCGGTAAACTAAATTATTTTAAATAAACTAAGATCAAGATCAAATACAACCTATATTTTTATTATTGTGCCTAATTGGACCAATATGATCTTTTTACCGCCAAAACTAGTTTTTAAGCGAGTTTGTTTGTTTTCAATGCTACTCTAATCCCAGCCCTATAGAGACTTTTTTGTAACTAGCTGAATTTTTTGTCCTGGGGCGGCATTCGACTCCATCGATCAAGAGATCCTAGTGCTCTTTCTGTCACGCAAAAAATAACCCAGGCCGGTATTGAAAAGCACGTGAGTGTGTTAGAGCTCATGGTAAAGTGGGAGAGAGTTTATACGCTAATTGGTCTCAGTAATTCTCCATCCTCACTATTTTCCTGGAATCCTGTCACCAAAGTACTGATGCAGTTCTCTCTTCTCTCGTCTGCACTCAGCATCCCTGTACACATTCGTGCAGCGCGCAATGAGCCACACGTGTTGTGCGCGGCTAGTGATGCTATCTGGCAGCCCTAACCTTGCTAGATAGGGCGAGACTCGAACCCATGACCTAATGATTGGAAGTTGTCTACCTAAACCAATGAGCCACAACTCTACGGTATGCAGATAACAGTAATAACAGGTGTAGATGCTGATAGCATCTACGGCTTTCCAGACATCTTGAGTGACAATCTGAGAACATTTGGGATGCACTTCGCAACACTCAAATGTGAATTAGTGCTACACGACTACTAGTCTGCGTTAGCACCTTGTCTGTCTAACAGCAGCGAGGGAAGACGTTGAGCACACTGATCACTTCACTCACACTCGGGAAGTCGGATCAGTCCAGGTGGGTCAGAAAGAATGTAAAAAGCTCGGTTGGCTTATACCAACTTAAACCGTGTGTTTCATCAGCGCGATATCTGGTTGCCTATTTAAGGTCGAGTGTACTACGCCACAGTTTACTCTGTCCTACTATATGGCTGTGAAAAATGGCCAGTGAATGTGGAGAAAATGAGAAGGCTACATGTGCTTAGCTACTTTTGCCTCAATAGCACAGCTTGTGTATGATGGGATTGCTGTGTAAGCAGTATTAGAAATTGGACGCAGTGAACTGGGCAAGAAAACTAACTCACAACTTGATACTAAGTCGAAGTACATCAGTGTTCTTTTTTTTTTTAACACACTCTTTCTACTGTTGTATTATATTTGTTTAGTGCCTCGTTCCGTATTTTTATGCGGTTGTGGAATAATATAATTTGAACTTCTTTACAGTATTTTTGGTTGATTTGTCTATTTGTATTTGCTTTTTGTGTCCAACTGCAATTCGAATAACTTAGTTAACTTCTAAACGAGACAGTGGATTCGAACCTGTAAAGGAATATCAATCCCCTTAAAGTTGCATCCATTCCATGCTGATGAATACCAAAAGCATGAAACCTGGATCCGAATTACTTACAACCACTCATCATTCATGTATGACAAGTAGATGAAATTAAAAGCAGTAATGAAATGAATATAATCGTTAGCAATCTGGTTGGGTTATTAAAACCTATATCACAATCCCACTACTTCCATAAGTAGTTGTAGTAGCAGCAGCAGTGGTAGTAGTAGTGGTAGTAGCACTAGTAGTATTAGTAATAATAATAATAATTCTACTGCTGATGGTAACAATGGTGAGAGAGTTGAAGGAGAACTGAAAGCCTTAGGTGTTTTAGCATACAACGAGAAGGATTACGATCAGTTCCCAATAAAGCTGAGATCTGAGTGGCATTTAAACCATCAAAGTCGCTTAAAAACAAGGTTTGTAGGTTAGATGGTCTAATCGATGCAATTAATCAAAATAATTTAGTTTACCGAATCCCTTGCAGTGATTGTGAGGTCAAATACACGGGTCAGAGTAGTCGACCAAGGCCAATCAGAATAACAGAGGACAAAATCTTAGCTAAATTAAGATTAATAGATACTACTAAGATAAGAAATTTAGAGAAAAGCTCGGCGTCAGCTCTAAACACAACTACATACAATCACACAGGAGGGTGGGATAGAGCGATAACGTTAAAAACTAACTTAACTTAGTTGGTTGGAGGGAGAGATTGGTAACTGAATCTTTGTTTATCGAATCAACACCAAACACACGCAATCGAAATGATTCTGCATCTGTTCCGGATATATGGAATGTCCTACTGCTCTTATCACAAAGGAGAGAGAATTAGAACTATGTAAACCATGTCCCAAAGTTGTGCAGTTACCTAGTATGAATGTGGACAATAAATTATGTCCGAAACGTTATCCAGTAAATGATACTGTTTCACTGTGTGATATTTCTAATAAACGGACAATAATGGAATGGAATTTTCTCCTGAATTTTCTTGACAAACCTAAATAACCATCTACTGTTATCTATCATCATTACCTTCCTCATTAATTTAGCCCTTAGTACCCACCACTGCTCACAGGTATTGCATAGATTTGCTGTCATTCTTCATTTAAATTGCTTCCGCTGCTTATTGTCGTTGGAGCCTTTAGGAGTGGGTTGGTGTGTATCCATTAACTCAGAAAACGGCTGAGATTCACCGAAAACACTTTCAGGCTTTTTATTAAGATCGGTTACGGTCTTTGATCCCATATTTACAGCAAACTGGATATAGCACTAAGCCTTCTATGCGTGAATAACATTGTTCTGTCCCAACAACTGTCTAGCCAGTTCCTTATTAAAAATGGTCTTAGTATTCTCATCATCAAAGGGTGCCTGGAATAGTCTTGTGGTTGCAGTTTTCCCGCTCTAATTTACGTGCAGACATAAGCGTGCTGAAACCAACTTATGGACACTGTCTAAACAAACCTTAGAAGGAGTGTTGATCTTCCACCAGGCCTCTTCAGCGATGACTGATAGCAATGTGGTCTATATGTGTCAACTATTGAGTTGAGGTCGTTGGACACCACAGCAGTGTACCTCTTCCTTTCGGAAGTTAGAGCACTAGTTACTAGCCGGTTCTGTGCCCAGATAAAGAGGGAAGGTTCGGCATAGGGCTAGCAACCCTATCCCGGAAAACCAATCCAACCACTAAAGAAACTTCAAAGCACAGAAAAAATATGAAAATAGAAATAAACTTATTCCTCGCTGGAATCGGAGAGACGAAATGACGTCGGTTGGTGAAAGCCTTCGAGAAGCCAGTCGGCCGATGTGTCTTCTCTTCTCCCCATGAAAGCGAAAGTAAGGATGCGAACATGGAATGTCCACACCATGTATGAACCTAACAAGACTGCCCAGATTGCAAAAGAGATGAGAAGGTACACCAAAGAAGTGCTAGGAATCTGCAAAAGCAGATAGAATGGAAGTGGACTCTCCCAACTGTCAACTGGAGAGTCAATAATCTACTCCAATATTGTCACTCAGACGACAACCACGAGCACAGCACTCTGAGTTTTTGGAGTGGCTACCATGATGTCCCCTTGAAGAGCATCAAAGGCTCTCTCTCCCATGCAGTGGGAACCAATCTCCCCCTGCAGGATCCGGATCATGACAGCAAGATTCAACTCAAAAGGAAGGAAAGTCATAATCATACAATGCTACGCCATGCATCTACAAGTAATGCAGATCAAGAGGAGAAGGAATTCTACAGACAACTGCAATCAGTACTGGACAAGACTCTAGTTGGCGACATCAAAATTCTAACGGGCGACATGAATGCCAGACTGAGAGCAGACAATACACTAGAAGAGAACCGATCATGGGTCGAGAAGCACTCGGTGGAATGAATGAGAATGGAGAACTATTTGTAGACTTTTGCGCATTTAATGATTTGGTGATTGGAGGCGAGGCACTGTGTAGAAACACAAGGATATTCGCAAACCAACATGGGTTTCACCAGATGGATACACTAAAAATCAGATTGACTTCACGGCCATCTCAGGAAAAAGGAGACGCAGCCTACTGGACACAAGATTTGATCAAGAAGAGGAGCAGATGTAGGTGGTTCACACCACTTACTATCTAATGCAAGGAACCTACCCTCAAATCAAGTTGAAAGGCTTCACAGAAGTTGGTGATAGACCACAGTTACAGTTTAACACCCAGAACAAAAACCGAACTGAAGCACGAAACTAAAAAGGACATCTTCACGTCAGCCATCAGAACAAAATGGGAGACATAAAACAACATCCCTGAAGAAGACTGCATGGAAGAACACTGGAACTCTTTGAAAGAGGTGTGGAAGGAAACCTGCATAACAGTATTAGGAAGTAAGAAGAAGAAGCAAGACGAGGAATGGATCTCGACGGACACATGGAAGCTGATAGAGCAGGGAGAGGAACATGGTGATGGTAAAGTAGAAGATGAACCAGTGCAGTGCAGGGATGAACAACGAAAAGAGGAACTGAATACAACATATAGAACATTACACTGGACAAAGAAGCGGAGAAGAGTGCATGCAAACACAAAAGAAACTTCTACGACACACTAGCAATTGAAGCAGAACAGGATGCAGGTAGGAGAGACAGACACTTGACAACACTATATCAAATAACCAGGTTACTATCTGGGAAGAGATCAACGCAGTTGAAACCAGTGCGAGATAGGGAAGGAAACCTAGTTACCGGCAAAGAGGAGAAACAAAGGAAACAATGGGCTGAGCGCTTCAAAAAAAACTCGTGAATCGACCACCGTCACCACATGCAACTCGTCCAGAAATACCACAAGCAGCCCAGCCACAGAACTATCAGTGAACACAAACCCTCCGACAAAATAGAAATGAAGTCCTGAACGCCATAAAGTTGCAGAAAGCTGGAACTCCGACAGAAGCACTGAAAACAAACGTATAGACATCAGTGAACACGCTCACACCACTACAGCAGAAGGTCTGCAAGCAAGGAAGGAAAGAAGGAAAGGTACTTGCCGATTGATTTGGAGAAGGGTTACGCTGTCAAACTCGCAAAGAAGAGTGACCTAAGTCTTTACAAGATTTGGCGCGGAATGATGCTCCTATCCCTATCCACCCCAAACAGAATATTATGCCCCATCGTACTGGAGAGATTAAAAAGTGCTCTGGATTCAAAATTACGACCGTAATAGGCTAGCTGGCTTCAGGAAGAACAAATCATGTGCGGACCAAATTGCAACGCTACGCATCATCATTGAACGTAGTATAGAATAGCAGTCAACTCTACACCTCAACTTTGAAAAGGCCTTCGAAAGCGTCGACTGAGAGGTAATTTGGCGACTGCTACAACCCTACGAAGTACCATAAACCTTTATCAACCTCATTCAGCAGCTATATGAAGATGCTACATGTCAAGTGATTCACAATGGAAAGTTCAGTGACGCCTTTGAAGTGAAGACATGAGCAAGACGAGGTTGCCTACTATCATCGATGATCTTCCTGATTGTGATCGACTGGGTCATGCAACAAACTGTGAGGAGCGAGAAGAAGGGGCATGCGCTGGCTGGGTCGATGAGAAGACCCCAGCAGATTTGTATTTCGCCGATGATGCTTTGTTTCTAGTGTCTTATGTCACACAAACTCGAAGATCTATAGGCGAAAACTGACAAGTTGGCAGAAAAAGCAGGCTAGCGAAGACGGAACTTCAAGTGAATGTAGAGAAGACAGAGGTGACGAAGATACCTAACCAACAACGAAATGCACCAAGCAACATCAACGGGAGAAATCTAAAGGAAGTTGTCTCTTTCATCTACCTACCTAGGCAACTACAGGCGGCACAGGCACGGATGAGGATGCCAAAGCCTGGATCGAAATGACAACAAGACAGACCTTCTTTCATCAATCTGAAATCAGTGTCGAGATCTACTCCACTCCGCTCCAATCAGCATAAAGAACAAGATCCGGATTTCCAACACTAATGTCAAGTCGATGCTTCTATATGGTTCGAAAATTTGGCGCGTCACAAAATGCATTCCTAACAAACTAAAGACATTCATCGACAACTGCCGCCTACGCTCGATGCTGAAGACCAGATGGCTAGAATGAATAAGCAACAAGGAACTCTGGCAACGAACCAACCAAGAACCTATCGCTCAACAAATATACAGAAAAAAGTGGAGATGGATTGGGCATACATTGAGAAGGCCGACTGCGGACATCACGCGACAGGCCAGGCCATCCAATGGAACCCAGAGGGAAACCACGAGTTGGACGTCCCAGCTGAGGGTGACATGGAGGAGATCGTGTGAGGAAGAAATGAAAGCTTATGGGAAGTCGTGGAGCCAGGTTGAAAAGACTACAGAGAACAGAGTGAAGTGGTGACGTGCTACTGAAGCTCAACGTTCCACTAGGAACCCAAGGGAAAAACAAATAATAAAAATCTGAGCACAGTTTTAACTGGCGATCGTCATTATCTGTTCGTTCGGCTTGGATTCCAAACGTGCCATCTAAATGTGTTTTTAGCTGGTTTAGCCTACCCACTTGTTCATTGAAATTACCTGCTTCTTGTTTCCTACATTGCCAACTAGTCTTTCAGCAGCACTGCCGTTAGTCTACCATGTCTTTGTGACTTCTTCCGAAAAGGTCGCACCATAGCACTACTTAAACACACTATTTTCAGTAATACAAGTCATAACAGAAGTAAGCAATTAGTAATAAGGTGAACGTTAACAAAAAAGACAGTGAAAAAAACTTACTGGTATAGGATTTCTATTGTAAATTATAATGGAATGATTACATGTCTGGCCCAATAATACTGTACCCAATACAAAAATATTATTAATGAATCGTGCACCCTGTATGAATACCTTTAGTTGAAAACAATATAAAAAAGAAAAGAGTTTATCCTGTTAATCAGAAACATTTTTCTATTCTCACCAAGAATGTCACGTTGTGTTACAAAAATTCAAGATAACATTACTGTATGAATAACATAAAACATCAATCGATATGACATACCTTTGTTCAAGAGAACGCGGTTTTCGATGGTCTTATTTAAGGAATTTGATGTATACACAAACTAATTTATATCCTACACGTTAATTTGCGTTATTAGTAAAGCTACATATTTTCGCAAACATTATGGACTTTCTAAACTGACTCATTGGAATTAATAGACACGCTCCATGAGAACAATATGATACTGCTGCTGAAGATGGATTTTAATCGATAGAGAACAACAGTGAGATATACGAATGGTGTTTAAATCAGTTCGGCTTTCAAGAGTGAAGACAGATATGCTCTAATAACGCTGAGTGATGGTTATTATTGAAGTTAGAGAATTAGAAATATTGGATCTCGATTCAGATAGTGCAATGATGACGTGATTGCCATGAGAGCTGGTGATCGGTTGCTCAATTGTGCAGAATGTCGAGTGTGCTCATAAAACAGTTACTAGGTCATCTTCTCCAGCTTATATGAATTATTCTGTTCAAATGAGTATGTAGACACTTAATATGTTAGTAATTTACCGTCAGAATGCATCAATTGTTTTTTTGAATGTCAGAAAAATTGTGATTATACTAAGTAACAGCTTGGTAGTCAGTGTCAGCAAAAACGATTTGCTAAACCAAGACCACCTCAGATAGCCTCATGGATAATAGATATGACACCCACCTCGATTTGGATTCAGACAAAAACACCACATTGGGTAGTCACTGGGATTTCAAGAAACCAACAGTTACGTATCATGAATTCTCATGCAGTTGGTGATTGGAGTGAAATTAAAATTTGGTCAGCAGTTTGATCTCGTAGCTCACATAGTAGAGTGCCGAGTTGAAAACCTTTAAGTGGCCGGTTGGAAAGCTGTCGCAACCGAGGTTTTCATATCATTTTAAGTCGTCACCCAGTATTAACAACAAAAGTCTGTTAAACTACAGCTGTCTCAGATATTCTTATTGATGAAACAACGTACATCAAGTTAAAGAAATCATAAAAAATAGGGGACTCTGGAGAATAGCTGAATTTAGAATGCTACGCATACGATGAAATTCAGAAAGTAACTGAGAACTATGAAAGTTAGACATTTCAATCTCTGTATTACATGATCGGGTGTGCAATACGTATTGTTGTAGTATATGCATTGGTCACCCTATAGGATGACTGTAAGCTTTGTAATGCTATGTGTTAATCACTGTGACGGTTTGCAGTCAGATTTTTCAAATTCTTCGAAGAAACTCTAAATCTCCTAAGCCTTTTTATAACCAATCATTTTGCCTCAAGACTTCGAGAAAACGTATGTGGTCATTTATGTGAATGGCAGACTGGCTAATGGAGATCATCCTTTTAGACAGACATAGAAATAAGCAAGACCATTATATTTAGGTACTAATCGTTGTAATTGGTATATGTTTTAGCATTACGATAAACCTTCTGTCTTATCGCCTTTTTTAATTTCCTGAGAAACTAAACAACCATCAAGGATGGAATCTCAAGGATGATGTTCAAGTGTTCACAAGCATGTATATAACCAAGTTACATCAGTAGCATAAGATAATTGTAATCAACAAAACAGCTATCTAAACAATAATGTAGTAAACTGTTTTTCACATTTAAATTGTTTGATAAAACCTGAAAAATTACGATAAACGTGATCTGAATAAAATGTATTTTACTAAGCCGAGATGTTAATCCAGCAGTATCACAAGGGATATTGTATTACTGTGTAGTGAATACTTCAGGTGGTCACATCAGACAGTATTCGTATACTATCGGAGATGTCATTAACAACGCTAGTTCAGTGTCTACTTCAGTCTTAACATATATTTCTGGGGGTACAGATTGTTTTTTACAAGTGTTGAACAACATACAACCTGTTCGATCATGCTGTCGAATCTGAAGCCACAGATACTGGGCTCAAGCTCCTGAGTGAACAACAACACGGACGCAACCAAATCCAGTTGACAAGAGCTAAATGGGACGAAACAAGCATTCTGGACATATATTACAAAGATTGGTGTACATTTTACAAATATTCTCAAGAAAGGGTGATATAAAAATATCCAATATACTAAAATTTGATAGTATTTCCTAGGAACAGACTTCACGCCATCAAATCACAAAAGTACGCCTTATTCAACGTTCAAGTTTGCATTTAGAAGCTACAACAATTTGTGACATAATTCTGTAGGTGAAGCAAAATAAGTAAGAGTAAGATGTTAACGAATGGACACAAATAGTTCATAACCTACAAAAAGCATGCATACATAGCTTCAAGTCACTGAATTTTGTATAAAAGGCTTCGATGGAACAAGTAATCAAATACTTGCACACATAACAAGGCTGGTGGTTACCACACTACTGTACAGTAAGAAAGAGAGTACCACTAAAAGAACATTTGATATTCATAAGGCACTTGAATATCTTGTCTATACAGCAACTGAGCTGGTTTTTTTGAGATGCAAGTGGAAAATATTACTTCAGAATCTTGTTTAGTCAGTTTCTAGTTAGCTAATTAGTAGATCACAAGTTGAGTACAGCGATTATTTCCCTCAACAATTGAGTGACTGCATTATTTCTGGTTAACTATGGTAGCGAACAGAATCTCATCACTGATACATTAAGTTCATTGTGTCAAGATGAGTTATGCGTTAAGATAAATATTATCCACAATTTTCTTAAAAGATAAAAAGCTTTGAAAATATACAAACTGTCTAAAATGGGTTACTATATCACATGGCCTAATCCCATGCAATGCTTTTAGATAATAACTCTAAAATCAATTGTAAATTCTTAACTTTATCATTATTATAGCATGACCTATTTCACAATTATTCAGGAAGGTTAACAACGTAAGTACTTCGAATGATAACAATAGACAATATCAACACAAGATCCGGTATAACTGCGTAGCAGCTCAAATTGCAGTGACACATCTGAGTTGTTTTTTCACATGACTGATATAAAACGATGAAAAGTTCAGATTAAAATGTAGGCTGAACAAAATTGAGGCTCTGATAAGAAATCAGCTTGATTTCTATTCACAAACCATGTGTAAACAATTTCAATGAATGGTTATGATATTAGAGTAGGAGGAGAGAGGAAAACAATCAAACAACAGAATCCAAAAATTAACAACTATGACTTGCACATGAAATTCTGATGAAATAAAACCTTCAGCTATTTACAATTATGGTATTGAAACTTCCAACGGATGCTTGCATGAAGTCTTACTCACTCAAATGCTATATTCATGAAACATTGAGGTGAGGAATGATAATTACAAGCCTGTGACATCGTCAAAGCATACGTCAGTATTTCTTCAAATATCAATCAGAAAACCGACATGAAAATGAAATTTAGATGCACTTAGAAAACATGTGCACTTTTGTGCATCAGGTGACAAACGACACCAGTTATGTGAGGGTTGATGATACTACTTGACTGACCAAACCTCGGTAGGTGGAGTGGGATTCGAACCCCTGATCCATCGGTTGAAAGTTAGGTGCTTACATCAATGAGGAAAAGCTCTACAAAGTGGACAAAGTCACACTGAACGCAAGTCCAAACTAATCATGAAGTCATATTCTACCTTTTCTCAAGTGAGACGTATATCTTGAACACTTTTTAACTTTGTGTTCATAAAAATGTGGAGCTTACAGGATTTCTTTATTGTAAAAATGTCGTTTGTTTCTGTAATGGTAAGAAACACCTTTGCAACAAAGTAGGATTAAAATGTCTACCCCAGCTATCACTATACTTCGCGATAAAACCAAATGACAACTTTTACTTCAATATGAGTTCCAGTGTTTGAGTACACAAAATACATTGTGGAGCTCCAAGTCCTCATGTTGATTGAATACCACATGACCATTATATTAAATTTTCTCGATACCTTCAGGTTAATTAACATGACAAGTATTATATGCTAGTAGACGTAACTGTGTTTCAAAATTTGTCTGACTATGGCAACCTGATAGATGCAGCCTTGATCAAAACTTAGAGATACCATTTTCATCTACATCTGTAACATATCAAACGACTATCACCTAGAAGATTTTAGAAACAATATCACTTTCATTAATTACTTTGAGTGCTTACAAGTTTTAAATACTACATCGAACAACATAAAGAAACCAGTCACTTATTATTCAATAAATTAAACTGTAGACTTAATATCCCTGGTAAAGCCATGCATCAATATACAAGGAGACAATCTATAAGGCCTTTTCTGCTCGCATGATTTAGTTGCTTCACAAACATAATAAAAGTTGGTAGACAGATCAATGTTCATATGTCATTCAGACTGTATTTGAATGATAAAGAATTCAAGAGTAGGTGAAGATCAAATAAATCTCATATGTTTCGCCTATTTGCTGATTTTTCTGCTCTGAGGTCTTAACACTATTATCTTCTTACACGTAATCGTATCGCAAAAACATCACAAGTTTTAGACCAGTTTCTCAAATAATTCTAAATAGGCTAGTTAATACATGAGTTAGTCACATGAAATGTATTCATGTGTTTTGAGTTCAGGGGGTGTTATTAAGCGTGTTCCTATGCTGAATGTATGAAATAGTGAATGTGTGTAGAAACGACTCAAACAGTTGTATCTAAATATGACATCTTTTATGAGAAGCATTTATATTAAAGGAACACTTCTGTTAATCTAGTAGGCCTTTTCATTTGGACAAATCTCCAGGTGTCGATCCTTTTTTCCTTACTTTGCACCAGTCAAATAGCATTGTAGCAATAAAAATTAGCTGCATCTGTTTAGATGCTGGGTGAATAAATACCACGGAAGTCAAGTTCAGACGAAAAGTTTATTATAATTTGGTTGGTTGTGGCTAGCAGAAGAATCCAGGACGCGCGTTTCGTCCAATTTGGCACTCGTCAGCTGGACGTACCTGCACCCCAGTGAGGTTGTTCCTACTGAGACTCGAACTTCATAAGCATCGCCTCAAACGCCAAGGCGCTATCCACTATGCCACGGAGGAACGATGAGTAATTGTTACCGGTTTCCCATTCCACCATACAAGACTCGACCATATTGACTAAAATAGCGTTGTCCATATATCCGAGATCCGATTATCGGAAAGCAACATGAAGAGAAGTTTACTTAAATATGGCCACATACAAAATAATGATGCGGGATGTGTACTTTAGAATAACAAAATTAGTGGTAGTATACAGGATAATACAAATCTTCAGATGACACGGCAATGTAAACAGATGTTCAAACAGACGGACAAAGTAGGTCAAACTCTGGAAAAGGACAATAAGGTTGTGTAATACTGGAGCATGAAGGCAGGGAATAAATAAAGTTTGAATGCGAATTATAGTACTAGTGTGAAAGGGGTGACAAAAATAAAATAAAAACGTGAAAAAGTACGGTTTAGAATTCATAAGGTCATTCACTGTTTTTATAGAACAAGAAGAATATTTTCTAAAAGCCGGTAATAACATTAGACAAAAAAAGATGTGATTTAACTCAACCCAGTACATGCATGTATCTATAAGCAACCCTTTTGTGTGAGAATATATGACACTATCCGGTTGTTCAGGCTGAAGTACGTGAAGCGGTGATCGGACATGGGGTCCGTCGCTTGAAATTCAAGCTTTTATGCCTATGAACCAGAAAAACGGATACTAAATGTACAACATGTATCCTAATAGCCTTTCACACTATACCATAGAAAAGTCATCCAAGATGTTCGAGTATTGAGCTTCGTATCGATCTGGTTTACCCTTGACTTAGCCATGAAGGACGACGATCGGTGACGGACAAGCCCATCTACACATCCAATGTAACTATCCAAGATGTTGATAATCTAGAGTAAAGGAGCATTAAAATTGTTCATTGGTTTTTACACAGTATAACGGTAATTAGTTTCCTTCCGACCACTTTCTATCCTGGCTTAACTCACAACTGGGACAGTGTAACACATATAGGCTTAACCAAACAATGTTACAGATTAACAATCACAAAAGGGGACCAGTTACATAGACGATAAACTAGAGACTGAAATAACAATTTATTTGATAAGCATATCTATTTGTTTACAAAAAACTTTACTATAAATCTATATCTGTCAAATAGTCGTTTGAAAAGTATGAGCAAAATACCGCACCACGATATTTTTGAAAAACTTTTATTGCTTTTTTCTCAAAAAATTGAAGCTAGAATGCCTCTTTTGTGATGTGCCCATCAATCCTAACAACTTTTTAAACATAAATCTCAGATTATTGATTATCTACCATCATATATATACTCTACATGTCTTGCAAAAACGCCGTTACCTATTCTTCATTTTAGACGATATTTGCTGCTCCAAAATCATTTAGACTTTTGTGTGAAAATGAAAAAAAACGTTATCAAGGTGTTAACGAAGCTTTTGAACCATAAGAAAGAAACTTTATAAATGATAATTGATGCAGTCTGATGATTGAAGATGATATGAAAACCTCGGTTGCGACAGCTTTCCAACCGGCAACTTAAAGGTTTTCAACTCGGCACTCTACTATGTGAGCTACGAGATCAAACTGCTGACCAAATTTTAATTTCACTCCAATCACCAACTGCATGAGAATTCATGATACGTAACTGTTGATTTCTTGAAATCCCAGTGACTACCCAATGTGGTGTTTTTGTCTGAATCCAAATCGAGGTGGGTGTCATATTGATTATCCATGAGGCTATCTGATGTGATCGTGGTTTGGCAGACTGGTACTAGTGAAACAGTATGATGATAATCCTGAGAAATATTGTCTGTGATAAGACCCAATATTTTAACCATCATGACTGCTATTCGGTTTCATACAGAAGTACAGTAGTGCTCAAAATTCATAATCATGTGGTAAGGAAAAAAGAGGATAGAATAGAATCATTATTCAAAGAAGCAGTAAGAAATAAGGCACACTTGACAGGCTGCCTAGATCTCGGCAGGTAGTGAGGACTCGAACTCGTGACCTACCTGATTAGAAGTTGAGTGCCTTCGCCGAGGAGCTACATTTCCATTAAAACCAATGTCAAAAGAGATACTGTTTATATATAACAGAGGGACTTTAAGCAAAGAAAATCATCGACAGGAAAAAACACGACAACAGCCTTATTTGATAATGAAAGTGACTAGTAGTTGTATTCAGTAAACTGTCCGATAGTAGTAGTAATTCTACCTACACGGATGTTGTTAAAGCATAAAAATCACTGCATTTATGAAGCTTTTTTTCCCCTTCATTTTCTTATGCTATTTGCCAGTCAGTTAACTCAATAGTTGTTAAGTGAAAATCAAATGGCAACTCAACACTGAACATACAATATATGCCCTAATTTGCAATTGAAATTTAGAGAATTTATGCATTTTAATTGAACGTGTTAACATGGTGATAAACTGTTATTGTTCACTTTATCTGCATGAAAAAAATATATATTCAGGTGGAAAATTAAAAACCACCGACCACTGATAGCTACAAATTATCAACGCACATGAACTGGTAAGGCTGTAGACGTGATCCTTACCTTTCTTCGATAGGGTCATTACCAATGGAAAAAGAAAGGTAAGCTAGTGACAATTAATTGCTCTTACTCTTGATAAGTAAGAACTGCTGTATATATAATACTGCTGTTATGCATAAAATACCCGGTTAGACAAGTAGATAACTGCTAAGAGACATATCGGTCATATGAGAAGTGCTTCGAAGTTGTCAGATTTCCAACTCAAGTGAGAAAATAAATGAACCAAGAACCTATCGTTCAACAAATATGCAGAAAAAAGTGGAGATGGATTGGGCATACATTGAGAAGGCCGACTGCGGACATCACGCGACAGGCCAGGCCCTCCAGTAGAACCCAGAGGGGAAACCACGAGTTGGACGTCCCAGCTGAGGGTGACATGGAGGAGATCGTGTGAGGAAGAAATGAAAGCTTATGGGAAGTCGTGGAGCCAGGTTGAAAAGACTGCAGAGAACAGAGTGAAATGGCGACGTGCTAATTAAGCTCAATATTCCACTAGGAACCCAAGGGAAAAATAATAAATAAATTACTGGGTTCCACATACATAGGATTACTATCCATTTATCTAACACCACCACAACAGATGATTACCAATATTAATAACTTTTCACAATGGTCAGACTACAAGTAAATAAGTGGTTGCAACTTTTTTATTTTACAGTAAGTCATTCAAATGTCCAGTCTCTCCAAAGCTATTAACATTTGGGGAAAATGTAGTTTTAAAATGAGCAACAAAGAAACTCACGAAAAACTAAGTTTCCTTTTAAATTAACCAAATAAAAATGGATATCTATGAGGTTTTGTGAGGAGAAAGCATTATTCTGATGCCTGTACAATCTTTATTGGTTCAGTAAAACTGCTTTACGTAACCGCTCACTTTAACGAAAATTCACGAACATGGACATATACTGACTATCAACATCTTTGACAGTGATATTTTATTCCAATTTACTATGACCAACTTTATATACTCGTCCACTGCCTCAGTCATCCATGAAGGATGAGTAACTGCTCGTGGTGGATTCAATTAGGGTTTCTCAGCTCATCTACTCTTATGAAATAAAGAATATCAGTCTTACCAAGAATTTGCATATTAAGCATATATTTATCTGATTATAAAAGATATGAACAACCAGTTATACAGTTTACATTTGGCTATTTGGTGACTTCAGTGTCATTGACCAAAATTTGCAACAAGGTCGCAATGAAAAGTGTATGCCTGAAATTTTGTTAAACCCTGAAACGCATAGTAATAACTACTTATATAAATGATTTTGGTCTTCAAGAAAGTTTACTCAGTCATTTAACTTTTAATGAGCATGACATGTATGAAATTGTAATCCATATAAAACTTTTTTCATACTTCTATTACCATATTGCATCTTTTCCTTACATCATATTCTTCATATTTTTACCATTTAATTTCCCGCAATTAACTTTGATCAATATCTTTCATGTAACACAGTCTTTACTATTCTCTTACTAAAAACCATTGAATATCTGTTTGATGTAAAATCAATCTCCTTTCCATGCTTCGGTTGCAGAGCAGAGATTTGTTCACTGTTTGAACATCATATAGATATGATAAATGAAGAAGACTATCCCATACTTAGAGTCGTTTCAAAACAAGCATCATGATTTTACCAGTCATCAAGGATTGATGCTGCAATTAAGCTACCAAGTAGATATTATCATGATCCTTATACCCATATTGTACATCACTACTTACCTCGAATAATTTAAAACATCTCAGCCAAAGAACAGTATTTGTCTTTCCTTTTCTTTTCCTAACAAAGCAAGAGCTTTTATACTTTATATCAGCTGAATGAGATAGACAAACAGACAGACGAAATCGACAAACGATCTGGCATTAATAGGAAACGATCTGAATTTCAGCACCTCATATCAGCATATCAAGCGAGAATGCATTGAGAGAAAAAATAAAGAAATAAGGAAGGAGGTAATCAAAAGTGACATAAAATAGTCAAACGAAACCAATGGGGAATGAGACAATAATGAAATTCAGTATGACGATTGAGATGAAGATAATATGTGCATACATCTGCGACACTGACATCAATTCTCATCCGTATGGCCCAGTCTCCAACTACGGGTCTCTGTGGACATCTAGACCCCAACTCACAAGTTTACATTTTCCTACACAGCTGACACCAACAGTCAAAGACTTCATGCAGTGAAGCCATGTTTTAGTCTAACCGCCTCGAACCTTTTTCCAGAATGGGTCTACGTCTGTTAACATTATGCTGTACGGTAGATCGTACTAGACATGCATAGTATGTCTCGGTAATCTGAGTCAATGAGGCTTCACAATATCATCGACTAGCTTTCCTCTTCTCCTTAAAACGCTGCAACTGACTTTTGTGTTACTGAGCAGGTGACACCAAGATCCACGGTCTATGCCAAGAGGGCAACGGTGGTTGAGCATCTGAATGAAAATAATCTGATATAACCAATGGTCATTATCAATGATGCAACTGGACTTTTTGAAGCTAAAGCAAAATTCTCAATGTTAAATACACACCAGTGGATCAATAAGAAATATAAAGACAAAATAACAGTAGATTAATTAAACAGTTTTTCATTAGAAAAGGGAAAATTGAGCTTAGAGAAGTTGAATACAAGCTTGAAAAATTTTTTGGTGAAACAGGATATCGTAGGGGGTTTAGCATGAAATCAGGAAACAATCAACCACTGAAAAGAAATTGATCCTTATCCCCTTTATGTTTAATGTGAATGATTTATGCATGTAAATAAGAAAGCATATCAAAAGAGCACTAAGAAAAACCTTCGTTGAGACCAAATTAACATGACTGAATAACAAAATATTTAATAAATCAAGACAAAGTAGTTAAGTATTTTATCTGTTTCAAATCCAAATGTAGTCACAAATTTAAGTGTATTCATGTGAGCAAGCATATGAGAAGGAATGAAACAAGGATGTCTAGTAAGATTAAAATATTTCAAAGAAGAAGAAAGGTTTTTCAAAATAATCAATAATACAATGAACGCCAAGTCTACTTCACTTTATAAAAGCCAATGAAATTATGTCACGGTTTGTTCTTTTTACACAGAAGGATCAATTTATCATTTGTATACTAATTGGGTTTTGATTTCATTGCGTTATTTGTATTTTTATATCTATATCTATATCTATATTCATCCTTAGTCTTTTTAAAACCTCTGTCTTCATATCATATATAAATATTCTTTGGCTTAAGAACTTGAGTTTCATGCAGTGGGTCACGGGTTCGATTCCCGCTTCGCCTACTTAGGCCTTAGCAACCGGGTAGTATCATATGCTCTCGCACAATTGTAACTCATAGTCTAGTACATAAAGGTGTGGTACTGGGTTAAATCATTTATTCTATTATTATTCTATATTCCATATTCTTCTATTATTCTGTCATTAGGTCGCTATGATTCACTGGTGTATTCTACATATTTCGACTTCAGGTTGACTTCAAACAGTCAAAGTATAGTTGTTTGTTATTAACATCATTACGTATAATAACCATTTGTGATATTTTCATATCAGTAGTTGATAACAAACCAAGTAATAAAATAAAATGAATTCGATGGATTCCGAAAACTGGTTCTTTGCTCTTATTATGTCTAAAGTTATTTTGAAAAGAAGAAAATCTACCAGATGTATAAAATATTCATCATACAAATATAACTTATATTCTTTGAATAAGTTCATCAAAAAGAACAGAAATATGTTTGTTAAAGGTTTTATTGCTATGTACCCTTCTCTATGTTGTATAAGTTTAGGTTACACTAGATACAATCATTTTTAATCAGTCAGGCACTTTTTGGCCTATTATGATACTTACACTGTCAAGTATTTCATATCATCATGAACACCGTTGTAACATGTTATAACATGTAAAAGTATGTTATATATATATATATATATATATATATATATATATATATATATATATATATATATATATATATATACTGAGTACCATAGTTAGTCTTTCAATAACTAGATTAACTGCATCCGTGTATAATCTTTAAATCAGCAATGATCTCAGTTACTTTAAAAGAACAAAATTAAAAGAATGCATTCTGAAATCATATGAAATACAAAATATGGATCAACAGACAGATAGAAGCAGAAAGACAGATACATGAGTAAATAGGTAGATAAGATAGAGTTGAGTCAAATCTCTGTCTCTCTCCCTCGCTTTCTAGATGTTAAGCAGCAGTATTTCTAAAGAACAATAACAATTTTAGTCAAATACATAAATAGAAAATATGAAAATTATGGTCAAATAGTAACTAGATTAAATACCTTTTAAACATACAATTTTTCTGACTGCAACCTTAAATATTATGATTAACTAGTGATCTAGATAATAGTTTATTCTCAGTTAAATCAAACCATCAAAAGTTGCTATTCTCAGTAGTACGATTTACTGATAAGAGACCAATATAAGAATATTTATAACAGATTTCTCTGGAAAAAAGATTTAAATAAATATTTTATTCTTACATTATGAATTCAACATGAGAGAAGCCAGTTTACAGGTATCATCACATTGATATATTGCATTTTGAGGGAGTTGCGGGGATTTGGAAATATTTCAAGTTGTTATTCATCGTAGACTGACATCAGTTGGAGGAACAAAGGAAACCTGGGAGCACTGGACAGCTGTTTCATCCTAGTATGGGTTCGATCCCTGGAGGGGTCTTTGGTGCGCACTGCTGAGGAGTCCAATACTAGGACGAAACAGCTATCCAGTCCTCCCAGGTTTCCTTTGTTCTTGTAACTGATGTCAGTCTACGGTGGATAACAACTTGAAACATTGATGTATGTTGGAAAATCTACAAGATTTTAAGGGTCCTGAATGGTACAAAATGTAGGTCATTAAACCCTATTAAACAATATCAAAAGATTCTGCTAGTTGTGAAACGAACAAGAAAATATCACTTTTCAACATATACAGAGTGTTAAAGTTTCGATCTTTTTGAGTCACATTTTTTCACTATAGGCGGCACCAAGGTCGTGCAAAATTCCAAATTTCCATTACAAGCAGTCGATATGTTTGACTCGTCTTCATAGTGTACATTACGCCAGATAAACGTCTATTTTACCATAAATTCTTATGCTTGTACCTTCAGAGACCAAAAGAAACCACACTGACGATTTCAGGAATCAGTAAGTTTCCACATAATCATGTAATTTAAATGAATATCCATGTCCAAGTATTTCCCACTTTTCAAGTGTTACCGTTCACAGCAATATAGATTCACGCCATTAGGATCAGATGTTGTAGTGCAGAACAACAAACATTTGAAGAAATGTAGACCGACGACAATGAGTTTCACATACTGTTCATGTTAAAGTACGCAGCATTATCAAGGAGTTATATTCACTGTTAGATGAAGTCTGTTGTGAAGCATTAGTGTGAATATGTTCGCTTTAGAGTCAATAGGTGAGTTGATCTCTCAGATTTAACTTTCTGTTCAGATTTTCGTTGCTATTGTAACCGTAAGTAATGCTCTGCAACTAATTACCTTCTGTTCTATAACTACATTTAATAATAATTGCACAGGTTGGTGCAGCACGTTATGAACTGAACTTGGTATTTCAAAGTTAGCGACAGTATTAGCCTATCCACCATAAAGCAAGTAGAATGTATTTAATGCTGTGATCGATAGCTGTTAAAAGCTGATTGCTTATACTACTGTGTCATAACTGTAACAAACCCGTGATGGGATGATAACAAAAGTGGTTGGCTGTCCTTTATAAGTGTTGCAATTCAGTCAACTACATTTAGTGACATGACACCAAGGTACTTCTTCCATTAGAATTAAATATTTTCAGACAACCAAGTAGAAGCTTTACGAGCTTTCTCAAACCAGTTAAAAAACAAATACATTTCAATTGTATCAGCATTACACCTATACCCAAGCTATAAATATCCATTTACGTAATGTCCAGTCAGTTTACTATTCCGAACTTTTGTGTATCACCAAAAAATACACCAGCATTGAAGGTTACAGTTGATGAATGTGAATTTAGAAGATCTTTAGTTCAATTCCAAATGTAGATGAGAATGTTGACTGTTGCAAACTAACAAACTACTTACTGCCAATTATTCTTAGCAAGTGTGACAAACCAACTTCATTAATTCCTGGCGAAAATTTTTATCCCACTTGTCAGTACTGTATGGGTCAGCTTTGAGGAATATATACTACTGAAATCAATTTAAACAAAATGAAGCTATAACTTATGTCATACTGTAGGCGATGATAAAGCCAAATAAACCGAATTCATTAGATTCAACTGCAATCTGTAGGACAGGGAGGGGGATAATTAGAACAATTACGATAATGGTGGATTGAAATTAAGAGAGACAGAACAAAAAGGAGGAGTGACATAGTTGATCCTAATCTTGGTGAAAGAAAAAAGTTTACCAGGATAGGTATAGTGTAAGAATAAGTTGTTTTTATTTACACAAAGGTGGTTTCAATTTGCATATGGCTATAGCTTCTGCAAATCTCAGTATTTTAAAACTGTGAAAGGTGTTTGAACATTAACTTTGTGACCCGTTTCTATAATATGTTTAGCTGTAGATGAAGAGCGCTGTTTCCTATCTGCACTTATCAAACTTTCACACGCCATTTGATTTCGAAGCCGTTTAGCTACATGTTCTCTCACCCTCAACTGCATTACCCGAATACTCCTTGCTATGTGCATCTGATTACAATACACTTGTAAACCGGTAAACGCAGTGGGATGTGATGCA